ACACATCGAGCTTTACATAGGTAACCAGTATAAACTGAACGTTAAATGTGCGGAAAGATGATACGACGCGATACCAGGATAAACTGGTTTTGTATAGTGATGTATATAGCGTTTTGTGTTGTGTATAGCGATATGTGGCCGTGTGTACAAGGATCCACTGCTGAACAAATTCTTCCAGATTTCAGTACTAATCTCTCTTTGTTGTTACAAGTACTCAATAAAAAAAACATCATTTTGCAAGAACTTACATCTCGAATTTCAATTAGGTAAAACAAACGTCATCATTATAATACTAATTACACAAACATTTAACGCTAACATCGCTTTTTTTTAAGGAGGGTAAATGTTCGAATGACTTCTCCCGCCTGGGTGAGGCGGGAGGGAGTGTCAGACTCTTACTGACTAAAAACTACCCCGTTCCTACTCCTGCTCTTCGAGCCGGAGCCCCGGTAACCCGTTAGGTTTTCCGAGACATCGCTAAACCCGAAAGATGAATAAAATAAAAATAGTGAAAAACTAACATACATCAATGAAAATTCACTTATCAACTAAATCTACGCAAGAACTCAATACACTCATTATTACCGTACAATTTATTTCAATATCATTCACTCAGTTCCGTCAAGCTAACGATGATTGATACATCTATCATTATAGACCTTAATTTCATTTCGAAGTAACTCGTTACGTTGTTCTTTAATGAAAAAACTGCTCCAGGTACTAATTTCATTGAGAAAACCTTTTACACTTATTAAAACTAATCTATACTTTAATAACTTCTTTAAGCGAAAGTTTTAGATAAAATAGTTTGTTTTACTCATTGTTTGAAAAAAAAAAATTAGAATACGGTACATATGTTTCGCACGAAGCGATCATGATAAGACCATATTTACTTTCGTTTCGTTTCAAATTAAATAACTCATTCATCTTTAATCTGTCAGAATCTTTACTTTTACCAGCTTGTTAATCATATAACCGTTAGAAATTTCCGTGTAACGTTGATTACTTGAAAGTGTGCGCAAGTTTATAGTCATATCGTCCCATCCCAGAGGCAAAATGGATCTCCCCGAAGACGTGAGAAACGCCTCTGTTTTTAACTACGTGTATGCTAATTACTGGTTCTTTTTCTCAACAATTACATCCGCTAAGTCCTGGGAATCTAAAAACTGGAGGTATTCAAATGTCTATTTGCACTAAAACACTGTCAAATATGTCCACGTTTTTAATTTCAACTGTTTGTCATCTTTGCTACCTCATCGATGTCGACCTCATTGTTCGCTTGATAAAATTGACGTGTGTAAAAGTGCTGCCTTGTAGCTTGTAGCCTATTTGTAGAAATAAATTCACTTGTTTCACTTGTTTCACTTGCTATTTTACCTCATTTCGTTGTTTAGACTTGATGCTGCTATTTTTGTAGTAAATGACAACTAGCGACAATTTTGTATCGTAGTCTAAGTTATATAAGAAAAAAGCAAGGAGTAGGATGATTTGCGATTATTCAATCAGGCAATCTAATACGAACAGCAAAAAATTGCAGGTCATAAAAGATCAAACGGCACTTACTATGATTAATCCATAGTTAAATGCTCCTCATCATACTGATACGATCTTGGTTCTGAAGTCAGAGTGCACCTAATTATATGACCTATCACGTCTCGAAGATTATTTTATCTTTACCATTTCCCTTTCCTGACCTTTCTGGGTAATGAGGAGACTGCTTTAGATCTGACATCGGGAAGAATGTTGAAAGTAAAAACAATACTATCTGAAGATGGTCTAGACTTTAAGGTTGTAGGGTCAGGATGGTTATTAATGCTATCTTTAAAAGAGTTAAATCGTGGAGCTATGTCTTGTCTTTTTGTTGCGTTTTCTTTTCTGTAGTTTCCCCTTTTTATCTTACGACGTCGACGTCTTGCAGGTACATTTATTTCTTCAATTACGGTGTGTTCTCACAAATTAATGATTGTTGCTGAGGTAAATTAAGTTATGTCATATTAGTTGTTGACTTTACAACAAAAATAAACTGACGTTTTATGTATAAATATTATAAATGTACAGTACTTCTATTTCAATCGATAACAACAACAAATCAATGACAAACGCAAGGTTTAAATTCGAATAAAATTGAATATTCTCGTACATGGTACTTGGCATACCACAGGGTATTATCTTAGGGCCATAAATAACTATGATACGTTTACCGTTAGAACAGTGGACGGATCCAATAATTGTATATTGTTGAGGTCAGTTTAACCTGCACCACGCGTTTTATGGGTTACCAGTAGAAAGTACAGAATTATTTACTTACAATGTTTGAAAAAGTTTTAAACAAATAACTTCTGGTTGGTATTGCAAGTTATTTGTTTTGGTGTGTTATTGATGAGATCATGTTAAGTGGCTGAATAAAAATATATGTTTTGGTATTTTCGTGTTTAATTTTGTAAAGGGTATGCGGTAATGTTATTTTAGCCTCTATTTTATATTTCAAAGTGAGGCTGTCTTGTAAATTTTTATTCTGATATGAATCTAATTCTTTGCACCAAATTGGCCTTTATATTGCTAGTCGCTTGTCATGATAACCTCGCCCTTAAGCCTACAATTTCCCAACCATTTCCCTTTACTTGTCACCCCATTATGGGACCGTATAAAGCATTAAGCAATGCCAAAAATGTTTGCAGCACCATATTAGAACGCCACCTAACTGGCCAACGGGCGCATGTCGCTGCGATTTGTCGTGTAAATCCGCAAATTGGTGTGAAACTGTCGTGGAAAATTGCGGCTTTCCAATCGTGGCCGTGTCAGTCGCCCTTGGTGACGTACGGTAGAAACAATCGATAGATCGGAGAAAGTATTTAGGTTATTTTGTAATGGTCATTTGCAAGACTTCTCCCACATTAGGAAACCTATTTGTTAATCCAGATAGGGGCTGCTAGTGCTGCTACGTTTCACCCCTAGCGTGTTGTTAAGGACTGATTAATTGTATACACAATTCTAGTTATGTGTCAATACTAATCCCCTAAAGCTCACCAGTAGCTAAATGTAAAAAGCTTCTAATGCTACGCATACATTTCGGCTTCAAATTTGCTTTGTAGTTGATCTGCGAAAATATAAAAAACTGAGTAACAGGAGACTTAGAGCAGAAAGTTATGTAATATCCTTATATGGCCCTTCGCAGAAAAAACAATGTTATGCAAGTTATTATGCAGATTGCAGAATAAACAAACATTCATCTATCCGTCACAATCAGAAGGGTCTCACAAGGGCCTCTTTTAGCGACACTGTTTCTTTTTCTCTATACTTAAGGTGCTGATAATCGACTGCAGCACCACTTCACAACATTTTCACTTTCGATTTTTGACTCTTAATCTGTTTGTTCAAAATGTCGTGTTTGTTGAAAGTATCTCAAACATAAATATGTTTTAAGAAATGTTTGGTAAGATGAGAAAGTGATGAGTCCAGGTGTGTTTTTGGCTTTGTTTGGTGGATGTCAATTGTCAATATGAGTATGTATGACCATTATGAGCTAATGTTTGTCGTAAATAAGAAGTTCCAATGACCACATCATTTACTCGTTTATAAGGCATAAGGCATAATAAGGCTGCAATAGTAAAAACACTATAAAGATGTAGCTCATCTAAGCAAGAAACATACTCAACACTCCTTCAAATGAAAAATCAAACTTGAATGATGACGAAACAAAATGATGTGTAATCTATTACCACATTTCATTCATATTAAAATTCGATGCACAGACAGACATATTGGAATTGGATAGTAAAATAATTACTGTTATTCGACCAATTTCACGGCTGCCACAAATAACATAAACAAATATGGTAGCTTCGGCATCGTTTGCAGTGCGTAAGTCTAATTAAAACCTTTCACATGCAAGTTTAAGTAAAACCTTCCGTGTTACCTTGTTACATAAGATTTAAATCGGAGATTGTGGATTTGTTATTTGTGCGTAACTTTGCTTCTGCGTGTGATCTGATCATCTTGGTGCCGTGCTTATCAAAAATCGTGGGCGTATTTTCACTTTTTTCTGGATCTAGCTTGGTGGTCTAGTTACCATCGTTTTGGTATAAGACGTCATTAGATCTAGGAAGACTTTGCTGGATGATGCGGCCTCATGTAATGATAAGGCTAACCTATCTTAAACTGTATCAATAGAGTTTTATAGCTTGCGATCCTAATCGTCATCGACGTAACTTGTCTTATCTCCTGGTTTTAAATACTCTTTATCATTTTTGTCAATTGTATTTTATTGATTTCATTAATACACATTTATTGAACAAACTTCTAGTCGGACACCAAGTGCAACTGCATTTTTATTGCTTTTGTCAATTTCGAAATCGAAAACTCATAACCACGTTTTACTCCACATACACTTACTTCGTTCTCGTGTGAAACAAATACATTTTTAATAAGTTTCGTTACTGCAATTTCTTTATAATAACAATTTGTAACATGTTGTGTAACAGATTTATCGTGGATCGAATTGATATTATCTGCTTCCTTTGGCAAATCGTGACAAGTATGATCGTCCGGTGAAAGCCTAATTGTTTGATTAAACTTTTTAAATTCCCCTGCGTATCCTGTTTTACTGTCAGTGACGTTATTGATTATCTTTGAGACATTGTTATGCTATCCTCTTAGCCTGAGGCATATGATGAAGCGGTGACCACTGCTGTACTTACATATATTGATTCTTGTGTTTATTGTATTACTGTTTAGAGTAGGTACTTTTATCAAGTATAAGTGCTTGGTGTCATCACTGAGTTTTCGTTTAAATTAAAAGCCTTTTAGTAAAAGATGTTTTTGTGACCGAAGAGAAAATTATCCCTATTATCAATTTGTATTATTTCGCACCTAATAGGATAATTAAATATTGCGGAGGCGCCGTTTGCTTACCATCAGGCAAATTTGTTCGTTTGCAGCTCTATCCAAGAATCTCCTTTCATCTGAACTGCTTCTAATGTGGATTTTTTTTTTATTTCCAGGACCGACCGGCAAAGATCAACGCGGCGAACCAGAACAGAACCGCCAACCAAAATGTGACCACCGAACGAGTAACCAAAACAACAAAAACCATACAAATTCATGAATCCTGCAAGATTACATGATTCAAAACAATATTTATTGTAATTAACTTTAGATAACGAATCTAGTCGCCATAGCACTATTTAAACGAAGCAATTTAGACTTTATTTTACTAGAAGATACGGTTGAAGATCGTATTCAAGTACAAAGATTAAGGAATTGAGGAGACAGTACAAACGACTCGTGGGGACCCTAATGTTGATTTAGGAGTAAATTGATTTGATTAGAAGTTCCCTGAGATAACACGAACAAGATGTCTACAAGTGAGTATCCTCATCATGACCTTAATTTTTATTATTAACTAGCTTCTGCCCGCAAATTCGTACCCGGAATCCCATTTTTTCCCGTCCCCGTTCGTGATTTTCGGTAAAAACTAAAAAAAAGTATTGGTTTAAAAGTATCCTATGTCGGTCTCCTGGCTCTAAGCTACCTCCCTACCAATTTCAGCCAAATCTATTCCGCCGTTCTTGAGTTATAAGTGGTGTAACTAACATGACTTTCTTTTATATATATAGATAATAAATAATAATAATAAATCTTTATTTTCTCAAAAATACTCTACGGATACAAATTATATAATATGTTACAATTAAGAGACTGGTGTCTGTTAAAGGTATAACCTGTGTTACAGATCACCAGGCCCGGGTGATGTTTATTGTACCTAATTCTTATCTAAGTAAAATTGTATTACGGAGCTGCGGAAGACTTAACGGGTTGCCGGGGCTCCGGCTCGTGCAGGAGTAGGAACGGGGTGGTTTTTAGTCAGTAAGAGTCTAATCCTCCCTCCCGCCTCACCCGGGCGGGAGAAGTCATTCGATGATTTTTGCCCCCTTTAAAAAGGCCTGTTATCGTCCTAAAGTTATTATCTGTGTCACATGGGCAATATTACTCGACCCGGAAATTCAACAGCTGTGCCTCTAACAGGCTAACCAACCAGTCAAAGGCTTAAATTCAAAATTGATCCGTAATACGCGTATTTATGCGGCTTCGGAACTCTGTGTGTGGCTTACAGTAATCTTCAATAATATTTGAAATATATAGACAGTAGTATCTTTTTTTTTTTTTCTGAGGGGCGAAATTCATCCAGTGACTTCTCCCGCCAGTGTGAGGCGGGAGGGAGTGTCAGACTCTTGCTGACTAAAAACTACCCCGTTCCTACTCCTGCACTTCGAGCCGGAGCCCCGGCAACCCGTTAAGTCTTAAGTCTTCCGCGGCTCCGTATCGGCATCAGCTCTGTTAGGCCCCATCTGTGGTGGTAAGACGGTAGTATCTACATAAGGTTTATAAAGTGAATATGAGAGTGTTGCCTCAGTTTGAGATCAAAGTGATTATTTCCCTGTCTGGATCGCGGGTAGTTAGAGTATATAGGCCTATCTAATAAGGCCCTGCTCGGAGCAGGAGTGGGAACGGCCACCTCGTTTTTAGTCAGTTAGAATCTAACACTCATTGCCGGAATGGATGATTTTCCAAAGACATTTTGAATGATTGAGAACATTATTCACAAAAATATTAGCGTTTTTATATGCAATTCGCTAATGTTAGAAATGATTTTGATTTCAGGTTTTGAACACTCTTCGATGAAGAGTAGCTTCTCGCTGTCATCTTTGAGGAGCGCGCCCGCGCCGCCTGGTGGCCGCTGTGAACAACTCGAGCGGCCGTATCACAGTCTTACGAAAAAGAGGTACAAAATCCATTTTTCATTTTGTTCTATTAACCTAGTTATCAGGCATTAATAAAGCCGGAACGCTGATTTAAGCAAGATATTTATTGTGTCGCATATAGCGGGTGAGAGGTTGAAGATTTAAACTTAATTGTCTACACTGTCCCAATTTAGGCAGTGACATCCCTAATGCCCTTTCTCGTATGGTATCCCTAGTATCCTTCCGTTGCGATATAGAAAAGAGTGATGGGTTGCTAACCAAGTTTTTTAATTTGCTTCCTAAAACCAGGAAAAGATTGTGGTTGTTATTACATTTTTATTAAGTAATAGCGTACTGTACAAAATTGTCATTAGAATTATCTAAATTCAATAATTTAACCGCAGGAACATCTGACAACTGCACTCTGTGAGATAAATACAATATAATGCAAGTTACCATTCCAAACGGCTTCCGAAGTCGGGATATCCAATAGCAACCACAATAAAAAGCTATTTTATAGTCTGGTGCGCAAACGCAGCAAAGCTTGTTTTCTTGTTGCGCATGAACTAACAAGAATTAATTACTACGACTACTCACTCGATTTATACTGAATTTATTTTCATATGACCATGAACTGAACTGAACGTAAAATGTAGTTTGTCATTGAACTTTATACACTCCTTATTTACTGGTTTCGTTTATTTTAACTTGACTTTCTACGTAATCGGTATAGGTTAAGCAGTTTCTTTAGTAATTATTGGAAGGTTTGATGGAGAAATCTGATGAAAGACTGGTTTGAAGCTGGTCATTCTAGTGTCATCTTGGTTGCCTCGTTGACGGCATGCAGGTGACCTTAGAGCTTATTGAGTTTTCTAATTGCAAAACTGTTCGTAGGGTGGATAGAGACAGAATGTCTGATACATACCGTTTTGTAAGGCAGATTTGGACATAGTATCCAGGTTATTGTCTTGAAATAGGAATATTAAAGACGGAAAGTAAACCTATACTTAACTGCCCTTTGTAACTAACTATCCGCTGATGGCAATTTGCAATTATATCTTAAAAACTCACTATCACTAAAACTATTCGATAGAGTTATTGTTTGGGTCTAACCACTTCTTCAAAGTCACTCAAAGTCAAAGTCAAAATCATTTATTTCAATTACACCAAGAATGCACTTGAGAACGTCAGCAAAAAAATTAAAAGTTAAGCTATTACTCATTCCACGGTGTAGATTCCACCGATAGAGAAAAATAAGCAAGAAACTCCATAAGTTACTCTTTTTCAATCAAGTTCACAATAAAATTCTCTAGTGACTAACTCCCTAATACCTGTCGCGTGTGTGTGTTACACGAAATATGTAATATGTACTAATATGTGTTTTAAACCTCTCGTTTCCAGGAAGGAGCCATGTCGCGAAGCTTGGCGCCGCAGCTGGGGGTCTGCAGCGAGTGGCGGCAGCGCCGTCGACGACCTGTGGCCGCTGCTGCAGCACCACTACGACTATATCATGGACAACCAGATTATCGATAGTTGCAAGGTACCTGCCCGATAGTATTTTTTTAAACGTTAACTCATCCTTTTAATTGTCTCCTGTATGCCGTAAAAAGCAGATTTGCAACCTAGATAGTTTATTATTATCAGTCCCTTTCCGTTCAATGATGTTAAAGACCTCTCCAAAAGCATGTTTTGTTAAGTACTGAGTTCGAAGGTCTTTTAGTCCTATAGTTCTGTGCTTTATGACTCTAAAAACTAGACTAAAAATTACCGTAAGGTATGATAAAGGAGGAGGAAAGCCAGCAGTGAGTATTTTGCTGTTGAAGTGATGACGTGTACAGAATAGTTGTATTCGAAATATCAGTAAGCATCGTATCAGAAAGCATGACCACTACAATTGTTCGTATAAAACGAGCTTCCATTTCCAGTAAAGAAATTCATAGTTTCTATGTGGTTTCCAAAGTGCGAAACTAGTTTCTTACCCTTCTGCCATAGGTACCCTAATCTACAATAACTCTTCAATTTCTTTTCCAGGAAGCGAATGGCGAGCTTCTCTCCCGTAACCCGGCACTGCACTGCCCGCGTCTCCTGAACCCGACCTCTGGCTTCAACCGCCAGTGGTCGCTGAGTCAGCTGGTCGCGGAGTTCAATGAACTGTGCCAGTGGCTCAGCCATGTGCAGGAGGAGATATATTCTAGTCCCGAGAACTTGTCCAGCAGGAAGTTGAGGATAGTAAGTGTGGTTTTCTTTTGGAAATATACCTAGCATTACGTTGATACAAGACAGTTACTGACGGAAGGTCTTTACGGAAGAGATTTCCATGATGTGCAGAAACGGGGTGGCGTCGATTGCGTACCATCAAGTGACCTGTCTGCTCGTTTCCCAGCTTATCCCATAAAAATCTACGAAACTAAGCAAGGGAATTAGTGTCTGCTTGTAATACCTACCTAGTGCTAGTAAAGCGCACCCTGAAGTACCTGGGGGTGATTAGAAGGCAGTCTTTCTTCAAAATATGAACGAGGTGTATTATTATTACTTTAAACTGTCAAACACCAAGCGGTCACCGGTGACCGCAACCTATTGTTCTATAATTGTGTCTACAAAACCGGTACTCGACGAGTTAATAGACTTGGGTTTCTGATGATTCTTTCAAATTTGTGTTCTATCCTACCATCCAATTGTTAAGTCTAGTTGCTATCTACTTAAAACTATTAACTGATGCTTTTATTACTAGTTACTCGTTCTACGCACTTACTAATCATCTGTTAAGCATGTTCTAAGATAACAATGATGTGTTTCTTACAGAATCGTATGACGGAGCTGGTGGCAGTGGAGCCGCGCCGCGCCAAGTTCATCGAGCAGGGCACCGCTATACTCGAACGTATACCGGAGGCTAGTGCTGAAGTAAGCAAATTTTACAACATTGTATACCATTACTTAGTACCTTTTTTTTAATGAAGAAATCAACTCCTCTTGCCCCAGGTGGTTCCCGACTTATTTACTGAAACCATCCCATTCCAACTCGTGTTTCGAGCCGGGGCCCTATTAACTTCCTGCGCTTCTCCGCAGCCTATTTAATACTGCTTAGAAAATTATAGGCACCTGTATAACTTGGGTTCTAATATTATTTTTCTTTTTTCCAGGTGACGTGGCGAATAGAACATTTGAATGTAAAGTGGGAAGGTCTCCGGTTGCTACTTAGTCCTGAGCAGCAGCATCGTGAAGGAGACAGTTCTGACACAGTTGGTTAGTATTTTTATACTTATCTTTTGACAAAATAACTATGTATTAAAAGCATATTAAAAGTCTAAAATCGTAGTAGTTAGTTAGTTTCAGAAGTTTAGTACAACGCCCTCTATGAGTAAGCTCCAATACTATCACAATGTACCTACAGTTACTTTGTAATGCTTACAATGCCTAGATGGCGCTGCTATTCATGTAGTTCTTGGTTTTGAATATAGAGGTCGCTTGATGTATTTTTGAAATATTTTGAATGGATAGGCCTTCAGCTAAAAATAGTTTTACTGACCTGAAAGTACCTTTAATATTTTACCATTTTTCAGAATTTTAGTAATTATGGTTGCATATTATATAGCACTAAAAACTGGGATTAGTAGTTTTACGTTACCTATTTTCGTCTTTACCAGACACAGCTCACGAGTTGAAATGTCTTCGACGTTGGCTACACTGCATGGAAGGTCGGCTGCCTCCGCCGTCGCTGGCAGCAGCTAGAGGAGCTTCATACCACGAGCTGCTGAGGAAACTCGGAGAACATAAGGTAAGAATATATACATAATGAATACACGGCTAAGTCCTAACACTACAATTAGTCACCGAACTTAGAAGAACTGAGATCTTCAAATTGCCTAGCAATCGAGGGGTTATAGAAAAGCGCCTTCGACGTGGGACGCCTTTATTAAGCAGCGGGTAAGTACCTACGGACGAGGAAACTTTGTACAACCTCTTAATTTTAAAAAAATCTAGGTACAAGTTTCATTATCTAATTTTCCTACTAGATAGGTTCGTGTGTAAATAAAATGGAGATTATAATGAATAATAACAGGGAACAAAATATTATAATGTAGATAACGACAACAAAACAATGAAGTATTTACCTTTTTTGAGGGGGGAAATCATCGAAAGAGTTCTCCCGCCTTGGGTTAGGCGAGAGGGAGTGTCTCTACTCTACTGACTAATAACCACCCCGCTTCTACACCTGCTCTTCGAGCCGGAGCCCCGGCAACCCGTTAGGCCTTCCGCGGTTCTATGAAGTACATACCTGTTTTACAATTTCTTGTGGTTACCAGAAAATGGAACTGGTTATATATGTATGTATAGGAAAATATTATTTAATATAGCATAACATATAACATCACGCCTTTTATCCTCGAAGGGGTACGCAGAGGCGAACATTTTACCACTGTACAGTGTACAATGTAACACCCACTTTTCACTATTTATGTTATGAGTCCCATGTAATAGGGGGCGAGCCTATTGCCCTATACCGGGCACAATTTCAGACTCCGTGCTACTACTGAGAATATTTAAAAACCCAGTAACACTTTGCCCGACCCGGGAATCGAACCCGAGACCCCTTGCCCGGCAGTCGGACTTACAACCAGTCGGCCAACGAGGCAGTCTATTTAATATAACATTAAAGTTAAAGATTCTGAACGGTTTTGATAAGAAGTTTATGTGTAAGTAGAATTTTGATTTAAAGTTATACTAACTGAATCATGTAGGATTGATTTGATATAATTTGTCAACGGTACACAATAATTTGTCATGGATTTATATAAAATAAATAATTCAGACATGTTGCAGGCATAGATGCAATCTCATTTACTACTCTTACTGCGATATTCAGAGACATTTAGTTAATAATTATTTAAACTATTCCTTAGTAACGATTTTGTTATGAAAATAATTGCTTAGGACTGTATTAAGTAGGCATTAACCGTTGAAAATTTTGTTCATAGAAAACTAGTCTTTAAATATTAGGAATAAGGTCTATAATATACATAGTATAGTGGAGAGAAATGACCCTTGATTACGGCGGTAAATCTTCAAAAACTAAGAGCTTATAAAAGGCTTCTCACACACTCCCAGTCATAAAAAAAAACACACGATAACTCTTTATGTTGTCCTTACCTATTTACTTCCCAACTTTCTGCAACCACCAAAACAAAAACACCATTTATAACTCACCATTGCGTAATAGAACATCTCAATACAGTATCGCGAGCGATTTATTCTCGTTGTTACGGATCCATTGCGGTGTATCGACGGCGTCTTCGTGACAACTCGAACACGCTCTAATGACGATAATAAATCAGCCAGCGATGGAGAGATGGCCTTAATTAAGTTCGACGTTTCGTGAGCGAGAGTTCTTTGTGGTCGTGTGCCCTATGGATTTATGGTGTTTGAAGATAGTAAAGCCATATGTGTAGGCGTTCGTTACATTGTAAATTTAAATGTAATGGTTTTAATCTGGTGTAATGGAGTTTATTTTGATAGCCATTTTGTATTTATCTTTTTACTTTTTTAGTTTCGAAATTCTTCGTTTTAACCGCCTTTATAATTCGGCAATGGGGCACTAATAAAATAAGAATAGTAGATACGTAACTATGTATCAATGTCGCGGAGAACCTAACGGGTAACCGGGGCTCCGGCTCGACGTGCAGAAGAAGGAACGGGGTGGTTTTTAGTCAGTAAGAGTCTGACACTCCCTCCCGCCTCACCCAGGCGGGAGCAGTCATTCGATGATTTTCCCCCCTTAAAAAAAAAACTATGTATCAATGATAAAAAAGAAACGAAGAATCATAAACGCGAAAAATTCATAAAACCGCCTTTTAGGTACCTGTCATTATATGACCATAGACATCTAGAATTTGACATGGCCGCCATATTACTCACGATTCCTTCACCCTTCGGAAGTATGCATGTTAACTGACAAATAGTATGATCGTTACGTGATAGGAAGCAAAGGTAACGTTTAACGTGGTTTAACTAAGGCGACTCGTGCGCAGGTCATCAGATCATCGCAGATCATGTATCTGTGGCAGTACAAATTAGCGTTTATCTGATGCTTGGGTATGTTTGCCCACGATGCGAGGGAAATCGCGTGTAGTCGAACTTTTCTGAAATTATTTTTAAAAATTAAGAAAATTTAACCTGGGTAAATTTTTTAGATACTTAAGATTTTTTAGATTTTCTTCATTCTGGTGCCTAGTAGGTACACTCATGCTCCTGTTCTATAAAATGTAATATCGGAACTTAGCCGGTTGATTTCACATTTAAATTACATAAATTGAAACTATTGATACTTAAATCATTACAACTGGATCACTCTAAGAACAGAAGCTTAAACGACCTCTAATTGATCTACGAGGAATAAATCTTCTACATAATACACTCGACAATATCCTACAAATATCCAGAAGTGAAAGAAAATTGATAAATCTGTACGAACGATAGTAAAATCACAAGTTACGCTAAACGAGAGCGCCGTAAGCAAAGGTCATCAGATCATCTGCGATCACGTATCTATGGTCGTACAAATTGCCCTTATCTGATTACCATAGAGTTACGTCCGAGAGTAGAGAGGCTGAATAGCGGTTTCCTTTGCTTCGTTTCTTTTGTTTTGTGGAAAATAATTTTGATGTAATGAATACCTATGTTAGGCGTGAAGTTAAAGTATTGGTTTAAGTGTAGTGTCATTATTGTCGCAACGAAACCTCAGCTTGATGATAGATGGACAGACAGACAGGGACAGCAGTCTTAGTAGTTGCATCCCGTCTTACCTTCTTTGGTCAAAAAACTCTAAAATATTTAATTTTAGAATGTGTTTGAATGTATCCTAATTTAAGCATTTAAAAGTAATGTTTATCGCACCTGGTTCATAAATAGAACATGAAATTACTGGCCAATCATAACTGTGGATACGTTGTAAAGTACAGCAGGGACCATAGACTAGTGTAACTAGGTATTATATTTATTGCGTACCGCAAACAATGTTTCCCTTTAATTAAAACGGCTGTTTTACGATTATTAGATAGCTAACATTGTGAAACTATGTAGCGCCATTAGCCATTAATATTTAGTTGTTGCCTGCCTCATTTATAGTGTTTGCGAATAACTAGATAATTTTAATTGACTAACTAAGGTATTATACTAAGGTGCTTTTGTAGAACAAGCGACTCGGTACGAGAAGACGAGAAAAGAGTATTTATTCAAGGCAGCTAAGTGACTGTTTGTATTCCAAGCGAGCAATGTCCAAGAGCATGTCAATAAGTGACTGGACTTGACGTGATTTTCTATCCATAACAACTGTGATTCCTATTCGTATGACAGTAGGTGTTAACACCTTTTACATGTAAAGTAATAAGTACTTCATGACAGAATAAACATAAATATTTTTTTAATATTTACTTGTCATGACGTTAAGATGATTAGTTTTTATAATATTTTAATTAATTCAGTAATCATTCATGCTTACTACAATGTTCACAATGAAATTTAAAATCTCATAAAATATTTGTTTTCCAATACCTATATCCAATAAATACTTCATAGATTTTTTTTTATAAATGTCAATAAACAGCCATAACTTTATCATAGAGAATTTTCACGTTATAATCTGTGCATAATAAGCTGTTTAGTCTGTGGTGGGCTGGCGTACCGTTTGTCTATTGACTAATGCTTAGTTTCGCGGCAACTTTCGAAGCCGGGTCGCTGTCACAATTAACCCTTGCTAGTCAATTTGTGACATGACCATCTATTATTTGGAGCCATCGATCTCAGCTAATAGCTGCTTGCTTTGATTGTGAGCTATCGGTTTTGTAAGGAAACTATAGGAAAACAGTGTTTCAGAGATAAAGAGAAATGGCGTGTGGTTCGGTAATGGGTATAGAGTTCATGTTATTGGAATTGAACTGTTGTAGATGTATTTCTTCAAATACTGACATACGACCCATAAAGCTTTATTATTGTGATGGTTTATGTAAAAGAAAAATCGAAATAAAACGTAAAAATAAAACAATAAAGAACTTGCACCGGTGCAAAGCGTTATAAATTTGTTCTTTTTTAATTCATAATTACACTGTTTTAACTCATAAAAGTAAAAATAGATTTATTTAACACCAAAGTTTATAACTATCCACATTTAATAATCTTCACCCAGTTTTTTTATGAATGAAACGAGAATTCCTTCATCAAAGAAACAAAAATAAATCAGTGTAACGACATAAAAGGCGAATGTTTCGGTAAAAGTTTGTTTATTTACATATTTTTACTGGCCGCCGCCATATTTGGTCCGTCGTGACGCAGTGCATGGGTTTATTATGCTCAGAGATTTAATGAATTGGCTGCTCTAATATTTGCATTTAATGAAAAATATTCCTTGTGGGTTGCGTTGAAATTGTTACACAGAAATACAAGATTAGCATGAGAAAAATTCGTTTTTCAAAATTCACAGGCTAAATGCCTGACAAAGAATCTAAAGAAAATAAAGGTAATTTAAGGAATCCTATTTGCTTAAGGAATGAGTATTAATAGCAATTCCCACGCTTGCTCAATGTCAATTGGCGGATAATAAGTCTAAAAAAATATGAACCGATATTATGACCAACTCCCCCTCTTATTGAAATTTCATTTGTTGTTCAATTCATTGAGTTTAAAATTACTTTAACTTCGCCATTTTCTAAAGTAATTTTGTCTTGCTTCGGAGAAAAAAAGTGGTTTAAAAATTTCACCCACCATCACCACCAGTTCAACATT